GACTTTATGGAAGGAGACGATGGCGTGGTGGTATTGTCGCTAGACTAGAGACAGATAATATTCTGGGGACATGGGTTTAAATTGCACGATAACAGCCTGGAATTGAAAAATCTAATGATGACCATGAAACCACTGTCGATTGTCATAAAACCGATCTGATTCACTAATCTCTTTTAGGGAAGGAAATCTGCCATCCTTACTTGGTCTGGCCAATGTGTGGCTCTCAGAAATATGGTTGACTCTTAACTGGCCTGAAATGGCCTAGCAAGCCATTGTATCCAAGAGTAACTCGGAACTGGCAATAAATATAGACCCAGTCAACAATGCCCGCATCCCATGAGTGAATAAAAAGGTTAAACCTTGAGGTTTTGGTGACAGGACTGTTTTGTTTCAGGTCTTTACCTCAATGTCAAATATGAATGGATGAATCTCAGATTGTCGTCTGATTGAAGGACGGAGATAGTCGTTGGTGGTGGGGACCAGAGACAGTGACCTTAGACATCCTAGTATTTAGTTGAAGAAAATCCCTGCTCATCCAGTACTGGATGTCAGCTAATCAGTCTGACAATTTATAGAGCACGGAGTGTTAAAGAAAGATGGTGAGGTGGAGCTGGAAGTTGGCAGTGTATGTTTAAATAAATACACACTGTTTCTGGATGATATTGTTGAGGGTGGCACGCCGATTGAGCTGTGTGGAGTTTCCCAGTGTCATTTAGACGAACATTAGGGGATATGCAAGGGAACTGTGAGGGACCAGGACGAGAAACCTACTCGCTGACTATGACTAGATGGATAAGAATGGCATTGAATCCCCCTCTGCTCGACAAGTGAACTGAAGTTACCTCTCCATAAATAGTGGGCAGACAGCAGCTGGTTGTTGTCTTGGCAACCAAATGTTATTATACACTTGGCATTGTCAGCCTTTGCAGAATGGGCATTTAGCTCATTGACTTTGCATGTGGGAGAAAGTTCACTCAAGGCAGAATGTTCAATTAAGTTTGTTTCTGCAATGTAGGAGGGTTAAATTGCTCTGGTCCCACTCACTGATTGTCTACGCTGCTGATTAGCATCTTCCGTGACCCAAGAGATGTTACCGGTGAGATATCGAGACTTGGGGAAGCATCCCAAATAAAGCCAATTTAACTTTCCCATCAGCATTAGGACTTTCTCTTATAATTTCGCTCAACATCACAATGTACCAAAGCACTTTGAAATGAATGAAGCACTTTTGTTATAAAGCTTACTCCCTATTATAATCCGGTACTTTTAATATCCCATCTGTTATATTTGGATCTGTTTATATGGTATTTATATTTGGGGAGGCAGTGGCTTTGTTGTAATGTTGCTGCATTAAATAGTCCAGATCCCCAGGCTAATGTTCTGGGGATTGGTGAATTGGGACTGGCAGATGGTGAAATTTGAACTCAATTAAAATCTGGAATTAAAGACCAGTCTAGTGGTGACCTTGTAATAACCATTGTTGTTTGCCATAAAAACCCATTTGCTTTACAAATGTCCTTTAGGGAAGGAAATCAGCCATCCTTATGCATGTGACCCATTACACACAGCAATGTAGTTGACTCTTAACTACTGCTGGACAATTGCAAGCAATAAATGTTGACCTAGCCAGAGATGCCCACATCCCATGATGTATTTATAAATCTTATATATATGATCACTTTGCATTCTTTCAATGAACTCACACCCCTGTGATGTTTGTGAGAGGTTGCTGCGCACATATCGGCTAATGTATTTCCCACCTGCTCAACGATCCCTCAAAAGACAATTCCTTCATCCCAGGAATCATCCCAGTCAAACTTCTCCGACCTGTCTCCAATTCAAGTCCATCCCTCCTTAAGTAAGGAGGTCAAAGTTTTGCACACTACTCCAAGTGTAGTCACAATAAAGCGCCATACATTTGTAGCTAGCGTCCCCCTACTTCTAATCCCCATTCCTATTGCATTAAAGGCCAATATTCCATTTGCTTTTCGAATCATTTGCTGTATGGTACCTTTTTGTGACTCATGTATAAAGTCACCCAGGTCCCTCTACATCAGTGTTCTGGAATCTCTCTCATTTTAAATGATATGCTGCTTTTCTATTCTTTCTGACAAAGTGTATAATGTAACATTTTCACATATTACATTCCATTTGATCATGATCACTCACTTAACATATATATATATATTTCCCTATTATAGACTCTATCTTCCTCACAACTTGCTTTCCTACTTACATTTGTATTGTCGGCAAATTTAGCCACAATGTCGTTAGTTCTTTCATTACATTTGCTAATATACCATAAATTGCAGCATATAAATTGGCCCAAATTATATGAGATATTACTTTCTCTGTCCTTAAAAATCATATTTTTACTCAACATGTAGATTGTTCCCCCACCCCCCCACCCCTAATTTGCATTCATCGTCAGCCTTAATTTTTCACCCACAAAGGAACATTTTACCTGCCAATACCTTACAGCTGAGCAAAAGGGATCAAGCAGACGACATGAGCTGTGTTCTGAAGGTATGCAGGACTTTAAGACTTGCCAACTCTTTGCATCGATGTCAATATCATTTTAAAATGCTAACCACCCACACACTTGTTTTTGTAGGGAACTTTCAAAGCTGCAAGTTCAACATACATACTGACATCTACAGTATATTGTAAATAATTGAAGCCCTAGCACTGATCCCTGTAGCACTCCTCTAGTTATGATTATATATATTATATATATATCCCATCTCTCTGTTTTCTGTTTGTTAGCCAATCCTCTATCCATTGTTTATATTTTACCCTCAACACAATGAACTCTTACCTTGATCCTGGTCCGTATTTAATAGTCAATGAAAATCTAAACCAAATTCTCTGATCATTATTGCATTTCAATTTGTGGGAACTTGCCATTCATAAACTGACTGCCATGTTTCCTACTTCGTTGGCTGTAGAGCACCTTGAGTTGTCCTGTACTGTAATAAAACAGGCTGTTCATTTCTCAGTCAAACCTTGAGGGGTGAAGGTGAAAATATTTTATTCCAAATGAATGAATGTCTGCTCAGACAAGATGCTAAAGAAGAAAGGTGGGAGATTGTTTCATATTTACATAGATATAACAGCCTCTTACATTGAAAGCTGCCTTGACTCATCTCTGCCTATTGAAGCAAAAGCATTAATTTCTATAACACCTTTCATCATCTCAGAATATCCCAATTCAGTTTGGCTTGTAGTGATTGGAACAAGAGCCCAGTGAATCTCACTGACAATTAGATCCCTAATTGGGGTTGTTAACCAGAGCCAATCAAGGAGCCCTGGTGACAGATATCAACAGGAGATTCAGATAAACCTCTGCTTTCTAGGGACTGTCTCTGAGCTGGCTGGTCAAGGCCTATGTACTGTGCACATGTAAATGAAGGGATGATTTGGTGAGGGAATACTGGCCTCTGTGCAGTTATTTCAAGCTTGTGAGAGGATATTACTGTTGGGCAGTCTTTCTTGCTGCCAGATTTGGAGGGTCTTGCAACATAGTGGCTGTAAAGTGTTTTTAAGCTTAAGGGAGCTGCCTGGTAAGCCGTGATTTTAGCCTCAGATTTGAGACCCTGGTCCACAAATACCGTCCTGCTCATTTGGCCAAAGGTTGAGTTGGTACATTGGAGGGGATGGTAACTTTCATCATCTATGCCCATCTGCATCGAGAAGAAACTTCCAAGATCTGGAAAACAGCTATGAGATAATAACGAGACAATCTGTTTGTTAATGTTATTTGTGGGGCAAAATTTGGCTTATGACATCAGGTAAACTTCCTCTGTTTGTTTTCCTCACCCCGATCTCTGTTACGATGCAGACATTTGCATGAAGTAATATAGCAGCCTGTAACTCAAGGTGTTAATCTTGGAGTTGAGCAGCTGTTTGGATTCTTTTAGGGTAAAGTTGATAGGCCTGCAAGTTTAACACATGCTGTGTACAATCAATTTCAGTTAAAATCACAATGAATTTAATTGTTTATTTCTTTTTCATGTTGATTGTAGTGGTCCAGTCAGTAGACTGAGTTCAGTCGCAGCATGGAATTTCTAAAATAGCTGAGTTGTGTATATTTTTCTTGTTTACTGATAAACATCAGGGCACCGACCACACATCAGCAGTTGGTTAATGGAAGAATACATTGCTTCATTCATGAAGCATTTGCGAAATGGGTGGCAGTGTTACACAGTTGGAGCTTGCGTGATTGCAGTTTGGCAGCTACTGCAGAACAAGCCAAGACTGAATCACATGGTACATTGGAACAATACCCCCCACCAATTTTTATACAGACACAGTACCCACACCCACTTAAAATGCACCATAACAAGCTGGTGTTGACCATGCAACCTTTGGATTGAAATAAAAAAAAACCCCAACTGATTCATTAATATCCTTTATGTGAGCAAACCAGCCATCCTTACCCTGCTCTGCTCTGGGCTGCTATGTGACTGCAGTCCCAGACCAACTGTTCTGACATGACTGCACAAGTCAGTCAGTCGTAGCAAACACTGTGTGGACTGCAGCAGTTCAAGAAAGATGGCTTGCCACTACCTCCTCCAGGGCAACGGAGAACATGCGATGCAGGACGTTCTGACTTTGCCTGCACTCACCACGTCCCAAAGAATGAGTAACAGCTTCCACCATTACATTGTGTCTTTAGAAATCTGGATAGCTGGGGACTCCATTGGCCCTATGGTATCCTGAGGTGTGGTTACCGGAGAGTGATTAGAGGAAGGAAAACTCGGTAGTTTCTTTCTCTTGCGATGGTCCAAAGGCGGGGCGGGTGGGGAGGGAAAGGGGGGTGCCAAGTACTGAGTCCAGTGTGTAGCATAGCACAGCACTGCATAAGCTGAAATCCAGTAGCCCTGCACGTCTTTGATCCTATTGTTTCAGCCTTAAGCTCTCAGTCGCAGACTTTTGAGATATGAAGAGTTTTCTTTCTGTGCTTGGTACTGCAGTTAACTCTGATCTCTTTGTTGCAGGTTATTTTAGTTCAGGTTAATCCAGGAGAAACCTTCACCATCAGAGCAGAAGATGGGTCCCTGCAGTGTATCCAAGGTAGGACGATGACCTGTGGCCTGTGCCACAGGGTGGGGGATACCTGTTTGGTGTGTTATACTGATTGTATGTTTGTGTTGTACATTGGCCAACCATCCACACAGCAACGTCTGGGACACCACTCAAAGCAAGCACATGATTTGGTTTGATGATGACAGACTAGATATTGGGGCAATTGCTTGTGATCAAGAGCAGGAATCCTGGATGATTATCCCTTGCCATGTTATTCCTTAACTCCAAATTTTACTGTACTATCATTGCAGACTGTCCTGCTTTGTATCTCCAATTCCTGCCATGTTAAACTGCAAAACCAGACTTACCCTCCACCATGGATTGACAATGTCATGTGAAGTTAAGCTGATATTTTAATACCTGGAACATTGTGAACTCTGAATTCTAGTTTATCTGAAATGATTGAGTGATATTAATTATGTTATGCTTTGCAGCAAATCAGCAAGAAGCTAATTAAAGCAAATCAGTGACACATCTTCCTCAGGCCAGAGCATGCAAACACTGATCCATTCAAAGTTATTTTGCCTGTGAATAAACAACACATTTGAATCACCCCAAACATATCCAAAAGTGTTAGATCGTACTTTTTGTGGCTTTGATAAATTTACAGCCTTTAATTATTATCTTCATGATTATGGAAACCCAATGCAGCTTCACAGTGATGGTTGGAATGAGTCACAACCATAACAGATCTTTTTAAGTGTGTTTTATTTTGAGCCAGGTGTCAAGCTGTTCAGTGGATCATAGTTGGCCAGCTGTACTGATGAGGCCATTCTTTGTTGCTGAATGAATCTCAAATTTCCTATGTTCCAACTGAAAATCCCTTTCTGGTGTTGTGCTAGAACAATGATCTGCCTTTACATTGCAGACTGAATAGGAGGAAGCCATTCAGCCCTTCCTGCAAGACAATCATATCAAGACTAAGCTGCATCTCAACTCTACCTACCTGTCTTAACTGTACATCCTTTCATGCCCTTGCCCAACAAAGATCTCAGGCTTGAAAGTTCCAGTTGACTCCCAACATCCATGGCTAACAACAGAGAGAGAAAGAGTGAATGAGTTCCAAGTTTTCACTACCCTTTGTTTGAAAAGATGCTTTGTAATTTCCTTCCTAAATGTGAAGCTTATTTTCCTTCCTTTGTTTGGGACTCAACATACTAAAGAACAGAGCTTTGATTTGATTTGATTTATTATTGTCACATGTAGCTAGGTACAGTGAAAAGTTTTGTTTCGTGTGCAGTACAGGCAGATCATAACATACAAAGATGATAGGGTGATTGAACAGAATGAGGAATACAAAGTTGTGGCTACAGAGAAGGAGCACAAAAAGCACGATCAACATTAGATTTGAAATTTGAGAGGTCCATTTAGAAGTCTAATAATAGTGGGGAAGAACCTGTTCTTGAACCTGTTGGTACACGTGTTTAAGCTTTTGTATCTTCTGCCTGATGGAAGAGGTTGAAAGAAATTATAACTTGGGTGGGAGGGGTCTTTGATGTTGACTGCCCTTTTGAGGCAGTGAGAAGTGTAGATGGAGTCAATGGATGGGAGGTTTGCTTGGATGATGGACTGGGCTGTGTTCACAATTCTCTGTAGTTTCTTCCTCTGGATTGTTCCGCAGGCTTAGTTGATCTAATACCTTGACAAAAGATGATTGCAATCTCAATTGTGGCGAGAAAGAATTTGGCCTTCCTCCAGGCATATTTGCATGACCAGCACTGGGGTCAGAAAAGGATACAAAGATTGCAACTTTCAGCCTGGTTAATGCAAGGTCTAACAGCAAAGGTAATTCGCTATACCTGTCCACGCCATCCAGCCACTAGCATGCACTGCCCCAACTTCTCCACCTCCAACGAATGATTGAGTTGCTCTGGCAACATAACATTTTACAGACATGTTATCCAGAACCAATGCTAGTAATGTAGAGAATCCAATGTTCTTTCCAACGCACAGCTAATCAGGAATCTCTCCCCATTTAGCACCTGCCAATGGTGTATGTTGGAAGTATTTGCAAGTTAATAGTCAATCTGTTTGGCCATGCTATGAATGCATCTTTCATGGCCACCAAATCCTGGCATGGTGGGACTCAAACCCAGAACTTATGACACAGAGGCTAGGACACTGCACCACAAGACCTGCCCAGGGAGCTGTTCAAAAGTAAGACTATGAAATAAAGAGAAACTTTTCCCACTGGCTGGTGGTCTGTAATCAGTGGCCACAGTTTCAATTTCTTTCAGAGCTTTGACAAAGAAACTAGGAGATGAATTTTATTAATTGACACAACAGATGTCATTCAGAATACACTGGCTGACAAAGCAGTGGAAATGGATTGAGTGGTAAATTTCAAAAAGGGAATTGGAAAAATACTCGAAAAAGTGGAACACAAGTTGCAAAAGTTTGGGAAAAGAACAAGAGAGTGGAACTCATTGGTTAAGTCTTTCAAAGAGCTGGCACAGCGTCGTTGAACTGAATGGCCTCTTCATGGGCTGTGTCATTTTGAAAATCCTAAATTAACCTAAGGATGTCAGGAATAAAACCAGCAAATGCTGGAGAAAGTCAGCAGGAATGACAGCATCTGTGGAGAGTGAAACAGAGCTAACTTTTTGAATCTTCAAAACCAGAGTCATATCAGACTCAAAATGTTAACTGTTTCTCCACGGATACTGTCAGATGTGCTGAATTTCTTTAGCACTTCCTTTATTTTTATTTCAGATTTTCAGTATCCACAGGGCTATCTGATCTCCTGGGTTTTTTTTGCATTCTGTTGCTGCTGTTTATTTGGGGGTTGGTTTAGCTCAGTTGGCTGGACAGTTGACATGCAAAACATGCGATGCCACCAGCACAGGTTTAATTCCCATCACCAGCTGAGGTTAGCATAAAGAACTCTCCTTCTTAACCTCTCCCCTTGCCTGAGATATGCTGACCCTCAGGTTAAATCACCACCAGTTGTCTCTGTAATGAGAGAGCAGCCCAATCATCTTCTAAGACGATGCTGACCTGACTGTTTGGTAATTGATGTTTAGTTCCCTGTTCACATCCTGGCTGCTTGAAAGATTCTGAGACTGTCTGGACAACTGTTAACAATCCTTATTTAAAAGCTTTCTACAAATGTGCAGTTGTCATTTTGTCTCCAGACCTATCTTTACTTTATGCAAGAGGCGTTCCTGCACACATTAACAGCAATTGCATTTCTACAGTACCTTTAACTGTGTAAATCATCCGAAGGTGCATCTTCAGACAAAACATCTAACCGCAGAGGAACAGGCGACTGAAAGCTTGGTTAAAATGGGAAGTTTTTTTTTAAGAGTTTTGTAAAGCAGGAGCGAGACAGAGAGGTTTAGCAATGGAATTCCAGAGATTAGGCTCCAGACAGTTGAAGACATGGCCTCTGATGGTGGAGCCATTCAGAATGAGGATTTTGCAAAGGCCTAATTAGAGGTGCACAGAGATATCAGAGGGTTGTAGGGCTAGATGAGATTACCACAATATGGAGCAGCAAGATCACGCAGGGATAATTGAACAAGGACCTAAGATGATAAGATTAAGGTTTTTGTCAGGTCAAGAACCAGTTCAGACCAGTACGTACAGGACTTGAGAGTAGGCTAAGGGCAGGAGGGTCTGGAATGAGTTGAATTCTATCGGAATGTCACAGGGGTAGCCAGTATTGTGTTGGTCAATTGGCAGTGTTTCCACAGCAGATGGGGCAAACGAAACAGGGGAGGAGATAGGTGATAGTCAAATTACGGAGAATGATGAATCTTTGGATGATGAAGAGGAAAGTGCTTTGTTGCAACACTGAATGTCTGGAGTCTCACCACCTTTGGAGAAGAGACAGTAAGAAGGAGCTGAGATGATTCTTAGAACTGGAATGCTGAGTAGGAAGGTCGGTTCAAGGGTGCTGCAGGTGCTTTTGTTAAAGAAATGCATGTGAAAGGAGACTGAGGGGTGACCTTACAGAGGTTTATAAGGGGTATCATGAGGGGTATAAGTAAGGTGAATAGCCAAAGGTCTTTTCCCCCCAGGGTAGGGGAGACTAAAACTAGAGGGCATAGATTTAAGGTGAGAGGGGTAAGATTTAAAAAGGACCGGTGAGGCAATTTTTTCACGCAGAGGGTGGTGTGTGTATGGAACAAGCTGCCAGAGGAGGTGGTAGAGGCTGGTACAATTACAACATTTAAAAGACATTTGGACAGGTACGTGGATAGGAAAGGTTTATAGGGATATGTACCTATTGCACACAAATGGGACTAGCTCAGTTTAGGAAACCTGGTCAGCACGGACGAGTTGGGCCGAAGGGCCTGTTTCCGTGCTGTAAGACTCAAAGTCAAATATCAGTGAGATTCTTAGAGGAAGTGAAATATTGGCTGAGGTGGACAGATGGAAGTACCCTCTCACCATGGGAAACAAGGATATTGCAATGCAGAATACATGAATTAATCTTACCTCCTATCCCCCATCCCCACCCATAGCCCTCCCCGCAGGGGTGACCATTATCATTATGAACAATTCTTGACATAAACCGTTAGAACAGTTTGAAAAAGCAGCTGCACCATCCAGTCACTGTTTGACTGGCATGTGTTCAGGTCAGACTCTGGGAATCTGGCTCACTGAGGTTGCTAAATCTGGATCCCTTATCCCAGTGACAGACTCCCAGGCTCTGGTCTCCGAGCCTGCCGCCAGGATAAGGAAACTGGGCTTTGTAGTCTAAATTTCTCCGAACCCAAAATAAAACCACCACCCTGTAGAAACAGCTCGTGATGGGCGAGTGAATGTACTTGAGCTGGTTGTACAAACATTGTTGAGGGATGGGCTTTTTTACATTCATTAATGGGATGAGGGCATTGCTAGTTAAGCCAGCATTTATGACCCACCCCTAATTACCCAGAGAGCAGTTAAAAGTCAACCACATTGCTGTGTGTCTGGAGACACACGTAGGCCAGACCAGGTAAGAATGACAGTTTCCTTCCCCAAAGAACATTAGTGAACCAG